TGATGAACTTACGATCTCTTAACTTTTTTTGAAAGTATAGGCCCTGGCTTCGTGGTCACCGGATTTTAGCTTTCAATCAACCAGATTAAAGATGCCAATCAACCTCGATAACAACCCAGCGGTGAGCGGCACATGAAAAACTGCATAAAATTTTATTGGATTTTTACGTGAGCTTCTCAGCTGCAGTCGATTAAAAATTGAGTCAATTTCATGACACGAGCCTCAGCTACGTTAAATTTTGCTAAATTTATAAAATTATAAAATTTGCGTGTGTTCGATGTTTGTCCTTAGAAATAGATAAAGGTTCTACGTATTCACAATACCGAGAGTATTAGAACACCATCTTCATACTCGTGAATGCCATCCAGGTCTGAATTTAGGAATTTTAATTTTCGTAGGCAGAGAAAATAAACAAATGAAATCTTAAATACCATATCACAACCCAATTTGCAGAACCACGTTGGCGTTACATGGCGCTCGAGCTATAACCTGTCGACCCAGGTTAACCAGTAACTTGCCATAGATGGGCTAAGCCAGAGAAAATTATTGGAAAATATAATATTCAGTGACATTTTTATTGAGTTTTTTAGAACTCAGCGATCATACAACATAAACGATGCCAAGTTAACCTGTAGGTCTGACACGTATTTTTAGTAAATACTTCAATTTCTTGTGTTTAGAGTTTGGTATCATGAATCATGTTGTACTACGCATCATGTTGAGGTATCATGAATCATGTTGTACCATGTATCATGTTGAGGTATCATGAATCATGTTGTGCCATGTATCATGTTGAGGTATCATGAATCATGTTGTACCATGTATCATNTCCGTCTGTCCGTCCGTCCGTGACCTCAAGTTTTCGTCGACGAGAAAATGCGCTCTCTGTCACTCACTGCAGTGAGTACTGAGTTATATTTTTTTTTTAAGTTTATAGCACGAAGTTATTAGGAGACTTGTCTCTCGGTCCGTCTTGCGCTTAGCTCCTCCTGCGCTGTCAAGAATTTTGTTCTAAATCCCGTCTCGGGCCAAGTTTGATACCAGCCAACTTCATGCAATGCTTTGACGTTCAGCTGCGGTCGCCAAGCTCCCGAGCTGCTGGGTCGTCATATAAAATTTTCGCCGAAATGTACTTTTTAAAATTCCAAGTTTTCGGAAATTTTCGGAAAACAACTATTGGGAAATTTGTTTTTACTTTATGTCTTGACTTAAAAGTTTTTTTTTTTTGTAATGTCGTTCTTTGTTTAAAAGATTATAATTTCACGCGACCTCAAGTGCCTTTCCTTGAGTCGCTCTCTACGAATCATTGACTTAATTTCGACAACTTCGAAGGTCAGGAAAGTTAAGCGCAACTCAGTTTGTGCTGGACCGCGTATCACACAAGCGTCGGCTCATGCTGATGCCTTTAACATACAGGGTCTGTAGAAAGTTTGGAATAATCCACCCATGCTGCCAGAATTGGAATTCTTTGAGCTTTGGCTTCGGGAGGGAGTTTGAACGCTTCTTCTCTAGCCACACTCTGGGTATTTGCACTCAACGGAACTTCTGAGCCTCTGTCGCCGCGTGCTACTGAACTCTGAAGTTCTAAAAGTAACTTCTGAGTCTAGCGCCACGCGACTCTGAGCTATGAAGTTCTCTGTGGAACTTCTGAATCTCTGTCGCTGCATGACACTGAGCTCTGACATTCTCAGGGGAACTTCTGAACCTCTGTCGCTGCATGACACTGAGCTCTGACATTCTCAGGGGAACTTCTGATTCTCTGTCGCTGCAATGCTGCATGACACTGAGCTCTGACATTCTCAGGGGAACTTCTGAATCTCTGTCGTCGCATGACATTGAGCTCTGACATTCCCAGGGAACTTCTGAATCTCTTTCGCCGCATGACTCCGAGCTCTGACATTCTCAGTGGAACTTCTGAATCTCTGTCGCTGCATGACTCTGAGCTCTGACATTCTCAGGGGAACTTCTGAATCTCTTTCGCTGCATGACTCTGAGCTCTGACATTCTCAGGGGAACTTCTGAATCTCTGTCGCTGCATGACTCTGAGCTCTGACATTCTCAGGGGAACTTCTGAATCTCTGTCGCTGCATGACACTGAGCTCTGAAATTCTACCCGTGAAATCCATTCTGGAAAATTAACGTCGTAATCTCAAGACCGAGTGGCGGTGATTTTGCATAAATTAACTCGTTTGCATAACAATTTTTTTCATTTCGTTGTCCTGAATTTTTATATCTGAGTTTGATTGATGGTTTTAACCCGGCCGGTTGGAATTTGGTAAATGTTCTTAGTATTACCATGAGCCTTGAGTGGTATTTTTTTCTTAGTTTACCATGAACCAAAAAAATAAATGTTCTTAGTATTACAATGAGCCTTGAGTGGTAAATTTTTACGCATTCATCATACTACGCAATGACAGCAGAAACGTTTGATTCATTTTTCTCCTAAGATTTGAATGGATTTTTTTATTTTCCTGCTTCTTTTATTAAGGTTACGTTTTTGACTTAGTTCTGGATTGGCTTTGTCTGAATCCAATATTATTATTATTGAACAAAAGAATATGTAGAAAAATCGCTATTTCTGTTGCTTCACTATTCCTCCAACGTATGCACACAGAAAGATGAGTCGGTCATATTGTACAAATATTGACTGATTTTCTTACCCGCAGTACGAACAGAAGACGGACGTAGCACTGATGCACTCTATATTCAGAACATTAACATGACAGAGACTCGTTCGATCAGAACATTAACATGACAGAGACGCGTTCAGAACATTAACATGACAGAGACGCGTTCAGAACATTAACATGACAGAGACGTGTTCAGAACATTATATATATATAATATAATATTATATATATATATAATATCATTATCTGAGTTTGATTGATGGTTTCAACCCGGTTGGAATTTGTTAAATGATTGTAGTATTACAATGAACTTTGAGCTATATTATTTGCTATTGAAATTTTCTGTAAACATTAATTATGAAGATGTCACTTCAACACAACGCGATTGCTTCAATGCAATTACGAGTAATGCACATGGAAGGAATTTCTCCAGCACTTGAACGTAATTGTTATTTACTCCTTGATTAAAATAAAATTTTTGATTCCACGTTGTTTATTTAATGTTGACTTTCTTGGTTTAATTTCAATGCTAGCAAGTTTCTATCTCAAATTGTTATGCATACATTTTACTAAGCAACGCCAGCAAATATAATAAATTTCTCTTATCTTATTTAAGTTTTGGAGGAAATTTGTAATTTTCCCACTTCTTTTATTAAGGTTACGTTTTTTAAGTTAGTTCTGAATTTGCTCTATCTGAATACAATATTGAACAGAATAATATGCAGGATAATTGCTATTTCTCTTGCTTTTCTATTCCTCACACATATGTACTCAGATAAGCCACTTGGTCATATTGTTCAAATATTGACTGATTTTCTTACCCGCAGTACGAGCAGAAGACGGACGTAGCACTGATGCACTCTATCTATGCGGGCCAAAAGGTGTCAAGATGACTCACTCAAGGAAATAAGTGTATCGCTCTTAGGACAAAGTTTAACTTATTTCTCTGAATGTAGTTCTGCATTGGCCTTGTGTTCAGTTGAACTCGAGTGGCGCGAGAGTGAAGAGTAAACTTCACACTCAAGTGAGTGTTATCAGCGAGTGAAATTCAAATGAAGAATATTCGCCGGACTTCTAAATTTACACATACAGTTATTCCATATAATGTTTAAAGCAATTAGTACATCAAGCATTCATTCGACCTGAAATATTCGTTATTATTTATAAAATTTCTATTTTACGCCCCCAATTAAGTCATTTATGAGCTAGGATTTCAATCCCATTTGCTGCCCGAGATTTGAATAAAATTTTCATGGGTTAGAGTTGAAATTACGCGTTGAATCATCTTCATAAATCGTAAAAATTCCTACAAATGACGACCATCGACTCCAAAATGTCACTTTTTCTCGACATGAGTTGAAAAAATTCCTCTGAAGTTTCAATCAAAGTTCGAGCAAAGGACTAGAGTTGATGGTCGGTTAAGAGTTGAATGTATCATCGGGACTCGTAAATTCAAGAGACGCCAATACATTTCAACGCGGCCTAAATCCCGGCCATCATCAAATTACGGTCTTTCGTGTTCCGAAAATTCTTGTCTGAAAAGTGCCGCGAGTCTTCGAAATTTTGGCAATTTACCTCGAGTCAAGTTGCCATTTTTCAGGGTTTGTGAACAGGCCATTTCGGCGGTGCCCTTTTTTAGGGCCTTTTCGGCCTTTTTTTAGGGACTGAATTGCTTGGATGCGAATGCCTTCTTCGCTTCGCTTTCCTCTCTGAAAATGCGGTCTCCGAATTCTCAGGGTAAGTGTCAGGGTAAATGATTCTAGATCGTTTGCTCTGACGATAACAAATGACAGTTCATGGGAGCCATCGAACAGAGAAAAAAAAAGGGGATTTTTCTATTCCACTGGAAAAAAAATTCGAATTGCCAACTGAAGTGCATACGATGAGGCACGGGAACATGTTAAGCAATATGCAGATATGAGCGTTCACTTGTGATATATTTTCCTTGTAAGGACTTGGCAATAAACACCAGCGTTTCATATATGTAGGATGTGTCACAGGCCACGCAATTGCACAACTTAGATGATATATTGGAATCAATTACTAGTGGTAGATTTCAAAGATAATATCAAAAATAAAATTCAAATGAAAAAGATCTGCCTTTTTGTTTTTATTTTGTTTTGTTTGTACAAGACGTTGAAAATGCAGACTGATTTTATTTATAATTCAGAATGAACCGCCCGGAATATAAATTATATTCATTCATATTCAATTGCGAAATCTCGTGCCAAAAATTCTCACATTTCATTTCCTGTAATGAGATTGCAGAAATTCATCTGAATCTCAGCTTGCAACTCTAGAACTTATGGCTGTAGGCGTTAGCTAATAAGCAAGTGATATATTGACAAGTGATATATAATCAAACCTTACCGTCAAACTTGCTGAGCTGCGCCCGTGCAAAACTGTCGTAATCTTCTGCTTCTCGTTTAACAAGCACACGTAAATTCTCCTCAGGTCCTCCATCTTCATGCTCAATATTCCAGACATTAATACGTTTCTTGTGCAAGTTAGCGTTGTCACCATCGGTATCAATACACGTCCCTAAGGTGCACACCAAGCACAGCACCATTAGCACCTCACTGATTGGTGCGCACGCACCGCCCCGCAGCACCGACCTGTTCGCCCGACGTCTCATGGTCGACTGACCTGCCCTGGCAACCGCGACCATGCGCCGCGGGCGGCAGCTCGTTGGTTCAGGGGCCATACTTTCAAAACTCGCTAAGTGAACGTAAGTACTTATGCTCTATTTTCTTGTCTTTCATTTGTGGATTTTGATTGAAAGGCCGTCAATGATTGGCTGATGAACTTACGATCTCTTAACTTTTTTGAAAGTATAGGCCCAGGTTTGTGGGAGTCAATAATTAGGGCTTGGCAGTGTCGTTGCTTAAGATTAATAATTATTATTTGTTATATGTTTGATTTCCGTACGTGGTCGTGGTGTCGATAGATAATTTTCATTTGGGCATCGATATTGCAATCAGCCCGTTTGTCTGTGTCGTAATGCAAAAAAATATAACTCATGTACTCACTGCAGTGAGTGACAGAGAGCGCATTTTCTCCTCGACGAAAACGTGAAGTCACGGACGGACAGACAAACGGACAGACGGACACGGCGATCGCAATAGTACATTTTTTCATGCATGAGAAAATGCGCTAAAAAGAGAAAAATCGAGTGCTGTCACGCACATTGCTCTGATTTGAGGAGAATGTTATGTAATCGAAAACCAAGATTTACGATCGAAAATAAATGGCCTTTGCTCGGTACTGAAGTAAATATTAGGTAAGTTGTTACTGACCTTGCAGTTCACAAACAGTAATTCTGAATTATTATTTAACAAATCGAATTTCATCGAGTTTCAAATATGATATTCCACTCATTAAATCTCTACGTTTAGAACAAATATTACTAGCGCATAAGGATTTACTCTTGCCTCGCTGTGCATAGTGAATGACGGTCCAACTCACTTATCTTGTCAATTATTCTAATTACATAATTGTACAGGGTGCGCCACAGAAACTTACTTATTTGAAAGGTCAATAAAAACTAAAGTACTTCAGTTATTGTTTTAAATTTTTTTTTATTCGAGAAAACAGTATACCAAATTTTTTTTCATACAGTTTTGAAAATTAAATCTCATAAATGACGGCCTCCATTGCGCATAAACTAATGAAGTCGCTTTCTTCATAATGGTTTCCACTCTATGCAGCATATCAATCGGTATTTTGGCAATGACGTCGCGAATGTTGTTCTTGAGGTGTGCTATGGTCCGTGGTCGATCGACATAAACCGGAAATTTCAAATATCCCCATAAAAAGAAATCGCATGGAGTCAAACCTGGAGAGCGTGGCGGCCATTGGAGATCGCCTCTGAGAGAGATGAGGCGGTCGGGGAAATGATGTCACAAGAAATTCATCGAGTCTCGTGCTGTATGTGCTGTGGCTCCATCTTGCTGAAACTACACGTTCCTAAAGTTCATTTCTTCGAGTTTTGGAAGAAAAAATTCCTAGATCATGTACCTGTAACGAGCTCCATTAACGGTAACTGCGCGTTCGTTTTCTTAAAAAATAAGGACCAATTATTCCCATTACCGACGTCGCACACCAGACAGTAACTCGCTCACGTTAAGTGGCTTCTGGTGAAACTCACGTGGATTTACACCACACCAATAACGCATGTTTAGCTTGTTAACGCAGCCGGAAATAAGGAAGTGAGCCTCGTCACTGAAAAAAACGACCGCGTCTTCAGGCAGGTTGTCAACCAGCATTTTACATGCATTTTGACGGGCAACAAAATCGCGTTCAGTTAATTCTTGCACTACAGAAAATTTATTTGAGAAACTTTGAGAAACAAACTTGGGAAATTTCCCCTTCAGATGCACCCCCTTTCGCCCCTCTACCCGACCAACTAACCGCACAGGAATTTTTTCAAATAAGTAAGTTTCTGTGGCGCACCCTTTATTTCCATTTAACCATACCTCCAGCATGTTTGAGGTCTAGTTAAAGTTTTATACTATTTACTTTACCGAGCAGAGAGAAATATGCCTAAACTCTATGTATGAACAATGCAATTTGTCGTTATAACAACAGTCTTGTGTGTCAATAGTGTATTGCTATTGTACCGATATATACATCGTTATAACTTGTGAAATGATTATTCTACATGATATCTAATAATTAATGTTACGCTGATATCTCGATCCGACTTTATCCGAATCAATTTATCTCAGTATTATTATGGAAATCCGAAAGAGACGACATTTATACCACACTGTACTTTATACCACATTCGTTCGCCGATAAGTAGATACAAAAACAGATTCATCAGAATGAATTCATCAATCCACTATAAATGTTATTTGGTTCACGTACTGCATCATATTTACGAATGCTCGAGAAAATAACTCGAACATAAAAGGAGACAGTCAAGAAAAGTCATAAAAGAAAGTCAAGAAGTCTTTTTGTATGTATCCAATTATTTTTAAAATAACTTTTTTCATTCTTGACATGAAATTCTCCTAAAGACAAAACGGCCATACGCCACACATCTCGTCATTTTCAAGGAAACATCTTCATGTTTTAATTTTTTAAGCTTTTTCATTTTTTTCTGCCAGCAGCCAAGATCCTGGCATAAGACATCAGATGTTCATCAGTGAACCCATGCACTGCAATTTCCTGTTAGCGACCTCACAGTTTCGTTGCAAGTCTTCCTAAAACCCAGGCTATGATACCAGCCACCGCTAATTTCCTGTGCCTCTATAGCTTCAATATTCTTTATTCTAATGTCCTGCGCCCTTAGCTTCAATATTCTTTATTATAATTTTCTGCGCCCATAGCTTCAATATTCTTTATTCTAATTTCCTGCGCCCATTGCTTCAATATTCTTTATTCTAATTTCCTGCGCCCATTGCTTCAATATTCTTTATTCTAATTTCGTGCGCCTTTAGCTTCAATATTCTTTATTCTAATTTCCTGCGCCCATTGCTTCAATATTCTTTATTCTAAATTCCTGCGCCCTTAGCTTCAATATCTAATTCCCAGCGCCCTTAGCTTCAACAGTCTTTATTCTAATTTTCTACTCCTTAGCTTCAATATTCTTTATTCTAACTTTCTGCGCCTTTAACTTCAATATTCTTTATTCTAATTTCTCGCGATTTTAGCCTCAATATTCTTTATTCTAATTTCCTGCGTCCATAGCTTCAATGTTCTTTTTCTAATTTCATGCGCCCTTAGCTTCAACATTATTTATTATAATTTCCTGCGCCTTAGCTTCAATATTTTGTGATATCAGCCAATTTTATTGTTGAACAAAGTGAGTGTTGAAACTGGAATCGTTATGTAAAATTGTTTTTGAAGCTCATTCTATAATTTAAATGTTATTATGAATCTAAAATGTTGAACAAGTGTGTTACTGTGAAAACCGCAAAGCTTCTATTTGGCAATCGGAACTCAGTGTCAGATAATTTTTATGTCCATCCTCCACTTGCTAAAAATTCCTCTCCTGGTTTCGGTGTAAAATGTGTCGTTTCGATCTGGCCAATTCTCTTTGCATTTAATTCGCTCATTTAACAGTAGTTTTTTGTCTATATATGTTATTATTTTAATTATCTAATGGTCATTTAATGAACGTTCATACATCATGGCTCCGTGGATCTTCAACTTCACCTAAGTTTTCTATTCCTCAATTTCATTCTTGTCTGCAATTTTTTTACTTCTTCCTGTTACTGATAAATTTCTGTCACTCAGCCATCGTGCAACATTTCTTTTCCAGTTCCTCTTGCATGGAACGCCGGTGGGAACTGACCTCATCGATCTCCAGTTCTCGGTGACCCGAGCACAACAAACATGGAGCAACAAAAAATTGTGTTTCGTGCGTTGTTATAACCTACAATAGCTAAATTAATTAATATTGTGTTCTCTCTATTTTTCCTTGAATTGTGGAGGAATCAATAATTACTTCTCAATTTAAAAACAATTAAACAATAATACCCTATTGCTCACTTACAGTTATAAATGAATTCAATTGTCATGTTTAAATTATTTTGAAATTCCAATGTCTGTAAAGAAGCTAAATTGAAGTGTAAAATTGAAAGCATGGTGGCTATGTTGGTATAAACAGACAATTTTAATTCGTTTGAATCCAGCACATGGGCCGATAGCTGCGCTAGATTGTAAACTTGGAGTTAATTTTTTTTTATGCGAATCATTTTCTCACTTCATTAATTATATACTATATCAGTAATAATTAATATACTAATTATATATTAATTAGTATATTATATAATATAATTATATAATATACTAAAAAATTATATAATATATACTAATTATATATTAATTATATATAATTATAACTATATCAGTAAATATGTTTTGTCGAGCCATCTGTTGCTATTGGACGGCAATGTTCCACCAAGAATATCGACCTATTTTGAAAATTGGTTCTATTTTATACACGCATATTCCGGGCAAGAGAGGATGCTTTAGCCGCCACAGCGCTCGTATTGCATCGTTCTTCGCGACCGTGGCTACAGTTCTGGGCAATCGGAGGTTAAATGGAAGGTTGAGAGGCGAGTCAAAGGGTAAGTCAGAAAACAGGTCAAACGGCGGGTCAAAAGGCAAGTCAAACGGCGGGTCAAAAGGCAAGTCAAACGGCGAGTCAAAAGGCAAGTCAAACGGCGGGTTAAAAGGCAAGTCAAACGGCGGGTCAAAAAACAAGTCAAAAGGCAAGTCAAGAGGCGGGTCAAAAGGCAAGTTAAAAGGCAAGTCAAACGGCGGGTCAAAAGGCAAGTCAAAAGGCGAGTCAAGAAACAAGTCACACGGCGGGTCAAAAGGCAAGTAAAAAGGCCTATAGGATTTACTGTCGCTTCCGTCGCCCCACACGTCTTGTCAAGCCGAGGTGAATTAGGCCATTATTGTGTACAACGTAAGTTCATTGACATCAAAACTGGATCTATTTGTTCATATTGTAGGCAATAGTCAGCATAAATTGATATTGTGTTCTTTCTTTTTTTCCTTTAATTGCGGAGGAATCAATAATTACTTCCTAATTTAAAAACAATTAAACAATAAAACCCAATTGCTCACTTCCAGTTATAAATGAATTCAATTGTCATGTTTAAATAATTTTGAAATTCCAATGTCTGGAAAGAAACTGTTTCAATGTTGAACGTATTTTAATTAGAACAAATCTATTATTAGTATTAAGCTTTTGGTTGATAAGCCATCAAGCTATACTGAATTTAGTGTTCTGATGCTTCAGAGTTTGATCCAGCATTGATTTTAATTTCTAAATTGCATCAGAGGTTTATCCAGCAGAGAATGAATTATTCTGTTGTATCTAGGAACTATTTGGCATTGAATTCATTATTTCGTTGCATCTAGGAACTATTTAGAATAGAATAGAAGTGTCGGCACTGAAGAAATAGGCCCATGGCCTGTTGCCGATTCTTGAATTTTTCGTGACTTGATTCACAAGGGATCCGGCCTTTGGAACCCGATCTTTCCATAACTGACGATTGATTGAGATAGCTGCTGGACTTATTGCCTGGTCCGTAATTTGCTAGGCATTTTAAGACTGAATATATGCTCCTGCATAGCTTCGTCTAGTCTGTTCTTGAAGGCGTTCACACTCAGAGCGTCAACTACGCTATTTAGTATTGAGTTAATTATTCTGTTGCATCTACGAACTATCCTGAACCGAATTCTTTATTCTTCAGGTTCTATAAATTATCCTACGCTGAATTTATTATTCTACTGTTACAGAAGTTAATCCTGCATTGAATGTATTATTATGCCACGCAGGATTATCCTGCATTCTCATGAGTGTTACCCGGGACTGTCGCCGTGCGTGTCGCCCCCATGGGAGATGCTGCGTGACTGTATCCGATATTCTCCATTATAGAATATCTTTGTATTAGAAACATTTTTTTTTCTAATACAACAAAATTGTTTTGAAATTTTGTTGTGTTAGAAATATATGAGTGAGTTGGAGGGAATCTTGAATGATTTTTGATGAGAATGTATTATTTTTAGGACCTTTAGTTTTTTTAACGCAACAAATTCTTGCCAATATAAAGTAATTGCGTTATTGCTGTGAATTTAGCTCATTTTCTAAAATTGGTGTCCTACTGGTTTGAGATTAGGAATGCTTCTCGCTTGATTAAAATTGGATTTTTATTGACGCACGTTAGAATTAATAAGTCCTAGTATGTGTAGTAGTCTAATATAATGAATACTTCTATTACTCTAGGAGCATTAGTAGTATTACTCTAAGAGTGCATGTGTGTTTAAGATGATGAATACGGAATAAAGCATTAGACTGGTCCGCGGTCGGTCTGAACGTTCTACAACTGATCAGTAAGCGAAAAATTTAGGTGTGCGGGTTAAGTCGTTTATAGATTAAGTAAATAACTGATAAATGCCAAAATTGAATTTGAATCTTCTTAAAACTCGTGATAAGAATGAATTTTACGCCTTCGCAGAAATTTTAAAATTTTCTGGTATGTGCGATTCAAGAATTAGGTAATTAATCAGTAACTGTTCAAAATTAAATTGGATTTCGAGCAAACTCAAGAAATAAGTGAATTTTGCAACTACGCCTTGTTTGTGAACATTTCAATCATGTATGTTATAGGTGGTATAATATCCTCTCCCAGGTCATGCCTCATTTGTGCAATACATTACTTTTGGTCAGGATTAAAAATAATAATAAAAATAAAATTAATAATAATTATACTAATAATATTAATAATAATAATAATAATACTATTAATCATAATAATAATACTAATAATTATAATAATAATTCATGTGTTTAATATTTGGATATTATATATAAATATTATTGAGGCGAGCAAATCATCTATGCCAACGCCACTATATCTGCTCCTAAAATGTTATGTTAACTCTTACTGCTCATGTTGTGATGTCTTAGAGCTCTATGCAACATATGTGGTATAATAAAATTCTATTAACTTTACTGTTTATTTCAGACACTTTAATTACGGGAGGTTATCACAACGATGATATAAATAAGAATTTTTCTTACGATAAAATACGGGGATGCGGGAGCTATACGCTGCACTCGTTCATTTTCTTCACTGCAATTCATGCGAAGTTAATGCGTTTAATATTAACATTTGCTTCATAAAAGGTTTTGTTATTATTTCAAATAATAAAACAATAGATGTTTTAAAAGTTATCTATTACTTTACGTATCTTCACTTTCTGTTGCGGCACTTTATCTTAAAAAAATTATAACATCGCAAAGGCCTAATAAAAAAGCTAAGCAATTCAATAGATATTTCAACTTTCCAAGTGATAATTAACGCATTCCAAAACCTGTTCGATTCTCAGATTTGTTTTAAATATATTATAAAATATCTTTTATTATTAAGAAGACGTAATATCTTGCAACATTACGTCTTCTTATCGTTTAATTCCCGCTGAAAATCCATAATATATAGAATAGATTTTCTCCTTTTTAGAAAGTCGCTGGAATTTTCATCGCAACGTAGTCGTCCTGCACCAGCTACAGTGATCACACATTCGGCTTAAAATATTACTAATATTATAGGTTTCATCTTTCTTATGTACATTCATCCAATTATTTTGATGTGCTAACATCTTTGTTTTGCCTTTCCTTATTCACATTTAGAGCAGCATCAGTGCTGGGCCTATACTTTCAAAAAAGTTAAGAGATCGTAAGTTCATCAGCCAATCATTGACGGCCTTTCAAGCAAAATCCAACAATCACAGACAAGAAAATAGAGCGTAAGTACTTACGTTTACTTAGCGAGTTTTGAAAGTATGGCCCCTAGTCTCTTCTTGTACATTTATTCGCTCTCTTTGAATCAATCATGATTTTCAACTAATTCATCTTTTTTAGTTACATAACTGATATGTAACATAATTGTATAAGCAGTTTACGTATTCTGTAATATCACCAAATTTAACCTTTGTCCCCAAACTCTGCATTAATCTTGAATTTTAGATGATTAATTCATTCTTTTTTTAATGAGACCTTAAACACCTATGAATATTTAATATTGAATACATGAATATTGAATTTCTACTAAAAACCGTTCATTGTAATAACTGAGATTGAACACAAGCCTCCTATTTTTTAATCATTTTTGGATTTTGACGATTATACCGTTTCCTTGTAAGACATTCACGACTTTGCTGAAATTCTGTACGATATCAACCACTTCAATGAAATAAGTTGCTGTAACGACACAAACTGATACAAGTTTTTCATTTTTAAACGTCTTGTATCACTCAAATGTCGCATATTCCTTATAGAATAGCCATTATTTTGAAGCTAAAACGCACAATAAACGATGCAATGAAAGTCTACTTATTTCTATACATAGAGCAACATTATTCATATAACATGGAAAATCCCTGTAGGTTGATATGCTTCAACTTCTTATCTATTGAGAGCACTATTTTCCACGTAAAATCTTTACTTTATTATATGATATATCAGTGGTGCAGACATGATTCAATATTCTCATATTAAAATGAACAACAACCATGTTCAAGTTGGTTACTATGAATTTTTCATAGTAACAACTCATACCATGAAAAATTCATAGTAACAACTATTAATGCCTTCAGGCAGTTAAGGAGCGTAGACTGGTTTCTATAAAGACATTTGCAAGTCATGCGTAAGGTCATGGAATGTTAATTCATATTAAACTTAATGGTGTATTTGATCACTATTGTTATACTGCACATAGTTTTTTTTTTTTTTTTGCTGTCACAAGTAATGGTGGTTTCGTTTTTTTGAATTATTAATTGTCCTTTACACAAGGAGCGAAGTATATATAATAATTCTATCTGTACACGTAGAATAAAGTTTCAAGTACAACGATACATTCGAATTGTATGAAATATTTTAATTCAGTTTTCGGTATATGATCATGCTCAAAATATTTCAATAAAAATTTTTATATAAATTTACGTATATATCATTGCGAATATTAATCCTTTTCGGATTTTCAATGACAAGTCAATTTACTATTAAAATGCTATACATTACAGATTAGTTAACTGAAACTGAACATTAGTTCAGTTTTAAATTAGAAATGTATCATTGCCTTATCATCCTCGAATTCGTTATCAAACATTCAAGATTCAAGAATGAAGAAGACGATTCAAGATGTAGAAGGCCCTAGTATAACGGGTAAAATAACGGGTTAACGATACAACGCTACATAAACGGTATAACTCTACAACGCTAAATAAACGTGATAACTTATTAGTGTTCTCATCAAATTATGGAGCCTAATAATATTCTACCGACCGACGACGTCACTTACACTGACGCCAAATGCGTGGCAACATGGCCAGATCTTTCCTCGAGCAGCACCACCTCCAGATCCAGGGAATCTTTTATAGCTGTCCGCTGTGATGAAGCAGCTTCTCGGACAGACTTCAGTTGGCTCGAGGATGGTCGATCCGCCTTCGAGTCCTTCGAGTAATCAGGGAATTTATTTGGGTCCACGCTGGACTCGGTAGCCTTTTTTGGCACGTTGTCTGTGAGGTTTGCATGTTGGGTGGCGTCTTCGTCTTTTGTTTTTTCTATCTCAGTTGATTTAACTTCGCATTTCTCGTCTGGTGATACTGAATGATGAAGTTTTGAGAACATTGCGACTTTATCTTCTTGAGTCAAAGGAGTCGAAAGCTTCATGTCCACATCCTGCTCGTTCTTGACTGCAGAGTCCATAGGAGCTTTAGACTTGTTTTTCTGGGGATTAAACTCTTTTATTTGCTCACCATTAATTTTGGATAATATATTTCCGTTTATTTCTGGGCTACTAATTTTTAAAAGACGTTGAGACTCATGAACAGGAGTCGCTGTTTCTTTCTGAATGAAAGAACTCGTGTGACTAGGAGGCATGGAGATAAGATGAACGGTCCTGCCGTGGGCGTTTTCCATCTTAGACACACTCAGATCTGAGCAAACTTTGCAAGACTTGACATGGTTCGAAAGAAAGCTATCGGAAGTGGAATTTTTCAAAGATGATGGACCATTGTTTCCGGAGTTCGATGGCATTGTAAGTCGATGGCCAGGAGGGCTCTCGTATGAAGATGCCCATCGATTGAGTTGCGTCGTTACCGAATGCCGCCGGCTTGCTAGAGTCCGCGTATCTGCCGTATCTTGCTGCAAAAATCTACGCGATGTTGTGAAGTTATCGCACTTTTCATATTTAGTGTTGTTTTCAGCACCTTTTATGCCTTTAGTTTCACTGCAAGTGACGCACAAATCGTCACAAAGTCCGCAATTGCGGCTTTGTTTGTAGACGAACTCATTTCGATTTGTATTCACAGGGCCGTACTTTTTAGGATGTCCAATATAGGTGTCTGTGTGGAGCAAAGTAGTGCATTTGCAAACCATGCTATGGGACTCCAGGTAATTTGGCCGATTGTGCGGCGGATAATGAACCTGTGCCAACGACTCATTGAGCTTTGGTGCTCTCATTGCCCTAGATGGCATGCCTAATTTGCTGCGCAAATGGCCAGACATTTTGTCGCTGGCGCTCGACGATCGGGGCAATGCATGCAAACATTCACAACTGACTTTTTCGCGATGGATTTCAGTAGGATTCTCTTCAAAGGGAACAGGCCGGCTATGGGCTCGCAGTTGCTGCTCGAGGTTACGTAATTTTTCTTGTCGTATTGCCATGGTTTCCTGGTTCTCAATGCGGTATAAATTTTTGTAGCGATTGTAGTCTTGTTGTCCGCCGACGATCTCAGCGTAGCGCGGTTCTACGCATCGACACTGCCTAACATCTGATGAATAATTTCCTTGAGGATCGCTACGAACATTCCAGTTTATTTCGTCGATGTCATTGCACTGTTTCTTATAGTAACTTATCGAATATTCCCCTTTTCTGTCGACCACTAGAGTGTCATCGTAACTGTAATCCTCATCATCGTCGCTATCATCGGTGTCCACAAATTCATCGGATTCGATTGCTTCTTGCTGGCACATCTTGCAAGTTTCCACGTGACTCACATTGGACCCGAAATCATCCTCTGCATCTATGGAACAATAGTCGTACTTTAATCCTGAATTTCTATTTCCCCTGTATATTTTCGAAGATGCAGCTCTCTCTGAATTTTCACCGAATTCATTTCCTACATTTCTATTTTCACCTTCAAGTGTGGGGTGACCCCTTTCTATGTCGATGCAGGTGTCACAATCACTGTGATTGTTTTCTACTGTTTCTGCACCTGCCTTCTTCACGGCAGGTGAAGAAGGAAACAAACTTCGTGGGCACGCCAGGTTGCTTCCAAAGAGCAGCAAAATCACAGTTAGGTAGAACACCACCAGCACCTGAAAAACATGGGACTTTAAACAGACTCTGTAATGCAGGCGTTGCTATAATAATATATTTATTTATTAGATGTCTGCATCATCAAGCTGAAAAATCTAGTCAATAATTGAAGGAAGGTGTTGGCTCTAGGCCCTTTAGGTACGAATATCATTGACGTGAGACATTCCAAGTGAAGGTTAATTAGTTAAACTCATGATTATTATATGGCATATTATCGCAATATCGGCTAATGGGCCAATATAGCGATTAATGGATGTCACCACAATAGGACATAGGACTGTCACATTTAGGTTCAGGCTTGACGATGCAGGGAATGCAAGATAATAATATTTTTAAAACATTTTCTTATATTCTATTAAATATGATACAATTCAAATGATCGCACCGAATGCGCACAGCACGCGTTAAGTATGAGTTTCGTATTTCGTTTTCCGTCAACGCGCGTCAGGGACGCCGTGTCCATTGGTCAGCCCATCAGGGGGATGACAACCTCCCACCTACGAATAACTGTGACGCATAACTGTGACAATGCAAGATGATGCATGACTTTGACAAGGCAATGTAACGCATAACTGTGACAAGGCAAGGTAACGCATAACTGTGACAAGGTAAGGTAACGAAGAACTGTGACAATGCAAGATGATGCATGACTGTGACAAAGGCAAGATGATGCATGACTGTGACAAGGCAAGATGATGCATGACTGTGAAAAGGCAAGATGATGCATGACTGTGACAAGGCAAGATGATGCATGACTGTGACAAGGCAAGATGAGGCACGACTGTGACAAGGCAATATGTACATGACTGTGACAATGCAAAGTAACGCATAACTGTAACAATGCAAGGTAACGAACGACTGTAACAAGGCAAAGTAACGCATAACTGTGACAATGTAAAGTAACGCATAACTGTGACAATGTAAAGTAACGCATAACTGAAACAATGCAAGGTAACGCAGGGCAAAACTGTGACAAGACAAGATGAAGCACAACTGCAACAAGGCAAGATAACGCATAACTGTAACAATGCAAGGTATTGAATAACTGTTACAAGGCAAGGTAACGCATAACTTTAACAAGGCAAGATAAAGCACAACTCTCACAAAGAAAGATGACGCATGACTGTTACAAGACAAGATGAAGCACAACTGCAACAGGGCTAGGTGCCGCATAACTGTAACAATGCAAGGTATTGAATAATTGTAAGAAGGCAAGGACGAGAGAAGAGGTAGCGGGCCGCAATACAGGGTCTGGCGAGCAAGTTTCAGTGTGTGCCTGAGGAGATTAAGACGCAGCGCTTGTTGACGCTGTAGCTCAGCAGCACGGAGGTTCTATAGGCTCTTGCTTCTTTAAAGCCTTTGAAGCCTCATCGTCGTCTAATGACCGCTTCCACATGACCTCCAGCCATTTCTCATTTCATACAAGGATGCAAAAGATGAGAGCTTCATCAACAGGGCAATGAATTGAAGTAATTTATATGATTTTATCCATTATTTCATTGTCGTTTAAATCTGTGTTAAAATTGTGTGCTAGAAAACGCAATCGCGACATAAAATTCTTGACATTGATGCACTGTAGAACGTAACTATTTAACTATATTACGCTGTGCAAATGAATGAGTGATAATGACCAAATAGAAACAAAGTCTGCCCGTTGTTCTGAAACGCTCTTTTACCGTGCCTTTGATGAGCATCGATATTTGGACGAGGTCTCACTCATTTATGTGAGTGAATAGATAGGCTCCTAACAAACAGTAGATAGGCTACTATAACAAACATCCGAGCGAGAGAATTGATGTCCCTGATCCGGAAGTTAAATGCACAATGGCCGTGGGATCGTATAAATTATAAATTACAGTTATTGTTGAGCAGCTTGGGTCGAATTCCACTTATAAAATATAATAGATTTATTAGTCCATATTTGAAGAGCTTTTGCGTTTGAAGGCCACAAATTAACGTTTATAATAATCAATCTTTTCTGATGAGAACTCTAAATTTTAAATTGCTAGAAAACATGTGGACTTCAGATAGTACTTAAGGGATTAGGCTTCTTGAAAAAAGTTTTAAAGTAAGCCAAAGCCGCTAGGATTCAGTCAGGTTTGATTGAAATTTCCTCTTCTATAACAATGTTCCTGACGCAGATAGATAAAATATAGAGTCTTCATGATGTAAAGGTTTACTAGTATTACTGTTTTATTTATATGACCTATTATGATAGTAGGACAGTTTCTGACTACTTGACGTCTCCCTTAAGGCACGGAAGTCCTATGCGCGACCACTCATAATCCTGCCAAGAATTGCAAAAATCGTTGTTTGTAATTCAGAGACGAGGAACTACAAGTGCAAATTTCATCGATTTTTTACATGATGAAAATAAATCAGGCAAAGACGACTAAAAATTATTTGGGTAAATTATATGAAATTTACTTATTCAGATGTACATGAATTGAAAGATGCGGAATTTCTTGTGAAAATATTGAATCCAATAAATTAAGGTAGAACAACTTATCTTAATATATTGAATATTTTGAACTGATTCATTGCGGTTTTATTATTTATGAATTTCAATAGATGCTGCAAAGATTGAATATATTGTCTAGATGTGGACCGTGAATTATCGCGGGAACTTATCAAGTCATTTTAGACATGGATTTGCATGTCTATCCTCTCTAAACTTGCCCATCTGCCGTTGGAATCTCTCTTCTGTTATCTTTTCATGATGAGAAAGCCTACAAAGTTTTTAACCTTCATCTTGTAAGTGGAAATTTCCCGTCAATGACGAGGCGAGCGGCAGTAAAGGCTTGCGTGTTGCTCGTAAAAAACCAACTTCGCTGTCGTGCCTTCGCCAGCACCTCAATTTTGGCCGCGTTTTCAGTCTCATGATGAACGCGTCACCTTAAGGCGGGTATTCAATTTTGTCGGCGAAATTGGCCGTAGACATTAACCTGATTTCAGCCAAATATGATGCGGAACTTTATCGCTTTCGAGGCCATATTTTCCACAAATAACTTGTAAATACTTACTCCGTGTTGAGGTTATTTTATACCAATTACCCAATTGGTATTTTATACCAATTATTTTATACCAATTACCAAGTTTATACCCCGGATGAGTAAATTGACAATATTTTGGAAAAGTTCCAATTGTGTGTGTTGTATAATCAACTTTCTGTTTATTTTCGTTGAAAAATGATTTTGTAAAAATAAAAAAGTACAACATATGCCAATACTTATCACCCCATTTGTTGTTCTATTTCCCATTAAGAGCAAAATCCAATGAATATCTTAACAAATACGCTGATCAAATCTCAGGAGAAATTCTTTAATTCCCACATAAGCCTTACTTTAACTTCCACTATATTATTTCTTCAACCTTCATCAGATCAATTCTTCACCACCCGTTAGATCAATTCTTCGCCTACCACCAGATCAATTATTCAACACCCACTTCCCAAACAGACTTATTTTCACGTCAAAGCAACAGTAATCACGGATATTTTGGTTTATTCTTTATGAAAACTTTAGACATTTCGCCAGTGGCGAAATTGTAAGATTCTTATAGGCCTAAATATTCCTATTTAATCATTATTGTATTTTCGCCAGTGATCAAATTGTAAGATTCATATAGGTTTAAATAATCCTAAATAATCATTATTATACTCACCCCGACAAGGATGGTGGCCTCAGCCGTGACGTAGTCGTGGACCGGCGAGGGTAAGGGGAGCGACGTGTGCTGGAAAGGGGGCGCTATATCCACCCCCATCGTGGCTAATGGGGCGCTTGCCCCCGCTTAAGATGTTCCGCCCAAACTAGTCTTGGATTTCGGTGCGAGGAGAGACCGGCTCAAAAATGATTATTTTTATCTAGAATTGCTGCGTCAAGAAGAAAGGTAATGTTTCTAAGCTTGACCGAGGCAATTGTGTATTGTCAATGGCTAAAATTTTTATGGGCTTATGGCAAAGAGTTGTATATATTGGAGGATAGTATTTTTTCTACGAAACGCTGCTCACATAAAAAAACAGTCTGTAATTCTTGAAACAATACACTTTCATAATCCACACTTTGCAAAGAATTATGAATATTTTTCTTTGGAAAGAATTAGCATATGATATTTTTACTTTTCTCCGATGTAAAAGCACAGTAAAATGCCCGCAGGATCAAACATTTCCTTAAACGATATGCAGATCGTCTTAGACAAATTCCAAAATGCCTTCTTTCCCAGCGCGCGTGCGTTCTGGAATGACGCTCAACGTCTAGTCCATTTCCATGTTGTTTGGAACCCGCCTAGAAATGACCGCCGTTTCCGTTCCAGCTTCGACCGCTCCGCTGTACTTTCGCTGAAATTTTATGTACGTTTAGAGCAGGAGGAAATTGAACGAAAAGCCCGTGGCAAGAAGAATGGTGCCTTCATGCCAGCCGCGTTGACAGGGCATTTGGGTCCTGGAAATACGGACTCTTGAACAGCTTCCTCTGTATTCGTTGCTGTTCAGTGGCTGTAAAATGGAAATTTCATAGTTTTTCTCTGTAATTTAGTGGGCTAGGTTTTCAGCTGAAATGACAATTTCCAATCTCAATCTTCCACGTAGAATAAGTTATTTGACTATTTTAGTGGCTGTAATACAACACAGTTCTTGTTGAAATGGCCAATAAAATTTTGGGGCATTTCAATGCTACGGAAAATAAATAACCATCGTTTTGGAACGAACCTGAGCCGGAATTTTGGCTATTGCATTCCTGAAAAATTTCAATTGCTGATGTTGTGATGTGGACTTAAGAAAAGCAGAAGTTATTCAGTTCTTGGAGTCAGCATGAATTTTAAAGCGAAGGTTGAGTGACGTGCCTCGTGTTGCGTCCAGAACTGGTCAGATGAGACCACAAGTTCCGGGTAAGTTTCCCGCTGCTTCTGAAACGAAGAGAAATAAAATATTTATTGGTTGGCATAGAATCATGTGATAATTATATAATTAATTAGTTTTTACATTATTTTTCCAAATCAGGATTGTCTCATTGAATAATCGAAATCCGTCGTGAAATTAATCCAATACCGGGCACCCCTTCCTTAATCAATGTGTATATGTATAGCTACTTAACCATATTTTATAAAACTACTGAAATTTAGACTCATAGGCAAAGTGTCTTGATTTATTTAAATTTTGAGGCAGATTGTAAAAAAACCATGACTATTATTTTGTATTCGAGAATTTCTAAAAATTTTATACCTGAAAATCGAAACGATTTTTATATTCGATTCTATACGATTCTATACGATTCGTTTCTATATTAGCTTCACCACCACGCCATCCACAAATACTGATAACTGTTATAATTTTTCTCGATGGTCAGATTGCCCTTAATTTTTATTTCATATGCTTCACGGTTGTGGACCTGGCACAATTTCGCAAGATTAATTCTTATACATTCATTTCGTTAGCAATCGTTATTTTTAGCGCATTTTCACAATGCGCAGAACAATAGCGCATTTATGGAAAAAATGCGCTATTGTTCTCGTCATGTCCGTCCGTCTGTCCGTCCGTTCGTCCGTCCGTCCGTGACCACGTTTTGGTCGACGAGAAAATGCGCTCTCTGGCACTCACTGCAGTGAGTACTGATCGAGTTATATTTTTTGAACTTATAGGTGACATCGTAATTAATGCTTGAGCTCTCTTTTTTGACATCGCCATCTGGCCCCTTATATCTAGGGTTGCATGGCAAACAGTCTTTAACTTCATTATGAGCTTCGTGATCTCTTCTCTACATTATGAGGAAGGTGAACGATGACAGCTGAATATAATAGGTTTATTTCCAGATATTAAATTCCAGTCAGTCAAAACAAAGACTCTTTAACAATAGCTTGGTTGCAATAGGGTTTTGTACGTGTCCAGCGCACCAGCGCCGTCCAGCGATGTTGAGGCAATTCCGCCTGCCATTTACGGTTTTGTCAACTTGAAATTTAACAGAAAATGTGACGTGTCATGAACGAGTGGCAACGCTGCTGTGCGATGCGATATTGACTCCAACTTCTCTTCGGCAGTTTTTCTGGAGTTTTCGCGCAACCTTGTACACAACCTTGTATACAGTTCGAAAAACGGTGAAAAAACGGTAGGATGGCGTTTTAGTAGCCGACCGTGCCGTGAAAGTCGACCATGATGGTTCGGGTTTCATATATGTACTTCCCTATAATTAAGGCAATGCGGTGTTATTGCACCAGTAGGCGGGGCACTAAAACGCCGGTCTGACCGTTTTTTTTTTTTTTGTGCAGTGTATTTGTTGAAATTGACAGGCATCAATGATCAATTCACTTGTAAATTTTTTTCGTATCAATTGGAGAAAATTAGAAAAAAAATTAAAATAAATTAGACATAAAGGGAACACGGGAGTAATGCTGGGATCATAACTTTACTTATTCACCTTCCTTTTAATACAAACATGTTCGCGCTGGAAAATCTATTATTAAAAGAGTAGGAATAATTCAAACCTCGAATATCCTGTGAAATATCAGTATGCAAGATGGTATGAGTACAGCCGCCCTCGCATATCTTTATAGTAACATAACTATTAAAGACATAAAGGTCAATGCGCCCGCAAATATGTCGCTCCTCCCAAGACTCAGAAAAGGATAAGTGCTTCAGGTCACGCGTGGGCCGCTCTATAAATTACAGCTGGGATCCTGACCGCTTTCCGCGGCTACATTGGATCGACCATATGCTTATGGTTCTGAGTAGCATGCATCAAGGAATAAGTTAAATTCTGTTTAGTTTATGTAGTGCCGCAAACTAAAAGTACTTATTGTATAGTGCACTATAGTCGCTACACATGCAGACTACTTTGGCTCACCACAGCATCAACACCCACCGGCTGTTAACAATAACATCTCCTTCATAACATAAGTACCCCACCGGCCGTTATCAACAACATTTCAGCCACAACATCACCACCCACCGGCTGTTATCAACAACATTGCCATAACATCACCAACCCAATGGCTGTTATCAATAACATTTCCTCCACAACATCACCACCCACCGGCCGTTATCAACAACATTGCCGCAACAACATCACCACCCACCGGCCGTTATCAACAACATTGCCACAACAACATCACCAACCCAATGGCTGTTATCAATAACATCTCCTCCACAACATCACCACCCACCAGCTGTTATCAACAACATTTCCTCTACAACATCACCACCACCAGCTGTTATCATCAACATTTCCTCCACAACATCACCGCCCACAGGCTGTTATCGGTACCACATCTACCACTTCACCACCCACCGGCTGTTATCGGTACCACATTTACCACTTTACTGCCCTACCGGCTGTTATTAATAACATTTTCACCACAACATCACCACCCACCGGCTGTTATCAACACTTCCGCAACAACATCACCAACCCAATGGCTGTTATCAATAACATTTCCTTCACAACATCACCTCCCACCGGCTGTTATCGGTATCACATCTACCACTTCACCACCCCACTGTGCCAGCAATCAGAGGCTTGAACATTTGCCGCCAATTTCCACGTTTAGACCTCAGAGCACATCCATGGTCGCCATCTGTTGTACTTAGAGCTTCAAGATAACGGTCTGCATTTGATGTTTCCTTTGACAGCAGGCTGAAATGAAATGAAGCATTTGATGCTTCATTTGTGATGCGAAACGGTCAAAAGCCTTGGATGGGTGGAACGACCACCCTAGGGTACATTTATATTTTATGCATAATTGAAGTTACTCCGTTACTTGTTGGGAGAATAGTTGTCATTTTAACTTTGCTTATTTTGCTGAATAGTTTACACGCTTTGAAGAGGAGTTACACGCTTTAGAGTTTTGCGTACGTTTTGAATTAATTTCTAGCCCATATGATGGTTAAATTATTTATTTTCCTTAACTTGACTGTCTCTGATATTTATTTTATTTTGAACCGTGTTGAAAGATTAAGTAGGATCCTCTTTATGGTGTATGATTTAAAAGTAATTTATATCGCTGTTTTTACTAAATCTTGCGACGACTTGCGCTAGGCTCCCTTAATGACCGTTGCTGGCTTTGTTGTTTTGCTCTATCACGCAAACTCGTGGCCTTATTTCCTTCGTAGCTCTGTACTGCTTTACATGTTCAGAGATCCGCTTCTTTGTAGCTCTGTCCTGCTTTACGTGTTCAGAGATCCGCTTCCTTTGTAGCTCTGTACTGCTTTAAGTGTTCAGAGATCCGCTTCTTTTCCTGTGCAACTCTATTAATTTGCATGTTCAGAGATCCGCAATCTTTCCTTTACAACTCTGAAGTCCTTTACATGCTAAGAGATCCTTGCTACCTTGCCTTTGCAACTCTGTACTGTTTTACATGTTCAGAGATCCGCTTCTTTTACTTAGCATCTCTGTACTGTTTACATGTTCAGAGATCCGCTTCCTTTCCTTTGTATCTCTGTACGTTTTTATAAGAAGCATTGATTTAACATTATACGTTCAGAGATCCGCTTTTATTCGTATTGTTTTCATCGGCTTTTTATTCGTATTGTTTTATTCATTTTTCACCCTAATCATTTCCATTAAAAATGTCGGACGAATGTACCTCCTCCAATAACCCGCAACATAAATTGCTTCTATCACGAGCGCTTTTAGCTTCCTTTGTAGCTCTGTACTGCTTTACATGTTCAGAGATCTGCTTCCTTTGTAGCTCTGTTTTGCTTTACGTGTTCAGAGATCCGTTTCGTTTGTAGCTCTGTACTGCTTTACATGTTCAGAGGTTAATTTTTTATTCGTATTGTTTTAATTGGTAAAAAGTAATTGTGTTAATATTTTTATTGTCGGTAGGTAACTTAATGATCGAAAATTTGTTAACTCGTCTCTTACAACAGCTCGTTTGGTCACGTGTATGTGCAACCTTCTTCCCACGTGAATTTCTGTCATTGTAGACTATACATCTATTTGATAATTTTCGATGTTCCTTTCTTCTTTTCGCTACAAAACACAATTTATTTCTATTAAAAATGTCGGTCGAATTTACCCACTCCAATAACCCGCAACATAAATTGCTTCTATCACGA